ACAATAAATGAACGGTAACAAATTTAGCACTCTTTTAGAAACGAGTTAGAACAATTTAGAAATACTTGGTGTCTCTTTGGATTTATTTAAAAATCGGATAAAAAAAGCTTGACAAGTTAGTGCTTTTTGCACAAGCAAAAAGCTTGTGCTTTTTTGTTTGTTTTAATTCCTTTTGTTTCATATATAATTAATATTTGTTTTATTTATAATTAAGTCTTTATTTAACTTAGTTTGTAAGCAATTACAGAGATTGGTGTTTACATTGTATGTTAACATATTTTTTTGTAATGGGGGTAATTCTGTATATTAATACATAACTAAATAAATAAATAATGAAATTATTGGCCAATGTCGCACTACAAACTCACCTTGTAACGTTAATAATAAAGTTAACGACAGTTTATTTGATATTGAGAGAGTTTTAAACTGTTATTTATGTATCTATGTAAGGACAATTACAAAGTTGGCAAAATATTATATTTACATTAAAATTCCACCAGCTTTTTTATATAATTTCATTACCTAATAAAATGCGCAAATAGAATAAAAATTGATTTCTACATGTTTTTGTTATTGGCACACATAGGCATTCGGATCAGAAGAATGGATCATAATGTTGATATAAATAGTACTGGTATACATAAAAACAAGTAATACGCCAGTATAGAAGCTACGCTTCCAAGAATGGTACAGTAGGCGATACTGTAGACTTGCGCAAAGCTCCATACTATGTTTTCTGCATTTTTCAAATTTAAATAATATTTTTAAAATTTAAATAATATTTTTAAAATTAAAGAAAATAATTTTATTATTTATTTATATTTTAAACAAATTATATTAAAATAATTCAATAAATTATTATGTTTCCTCCTAACGCCACCTGCTAACATATTAACAAAGCATATGTTGTTTACTTCTGATAGACCTGTCAAATTCAGATGTAATATTAAATTGATAATAAAATCTAAATAAATAAGATGTTTAAAAATAATTGATGTTATACGAAATTAATTTAAAACGAGAAGTGTCATAAACATTTAAACATATGATTCTTATGACTTATATTTTGAAAATTGATCCTTTATTGACAGATATTCTTTTAATTTTTTACTTCTTATTTAACACTTTGACTGCGTTACATATCCAGGGCGGTATGTATCTTGTATTACTTCTGTGCTAAGCTTAAATTCGGTGACCGACATATGTGTGCGAAGTACGTATCTTCGTTATTTTTCGTAATAGATTTTTGTTTTCAGTAGCCAGCTATATAATTTTAAATTCTGCAACCAACTATAGAGATATTAAAGTACATATTCCCGGCGATATGTAACGCACCAGAAGAATATTTTATTTTTGTAGGGCGTTACATATCTCGGGAGATATGTACAAGCCTGTATGTAGACATGTTTGAAGGGAATTACAATATTGTTTTTCTTAGACCCGTACGTTTAGTTGTGATTTACTCTTTGCCATGGAAGGTTATAGAGCGCAAAAAATATTAGAATTATCGCGTGTAGTTAATGACGATCAAGCTGATTTGGAAGGCCAAGGATCTTCATCAGATTTTCAACCCAGAGTGGACAAATTGTTAGCATCATCGCGAACAAATGAAGCCGAACAAGTTAATTTAGAATGAGAAGTATATTTATCAGATTTTGATAGTGACGATTCTATATTAGATCGTACTTTTGATCCATCGCTTTACGACAATGCCTTTTCTGACGAACAAGAACAAGCTACTGGTATACAATTAGATACTAATGAGAGCTCGGAGTCTGATGAGGATGAAATTACAGATGTTTCAGAGAATAGTCTAGTGTTTGTAAAAATACAACAATTACCCCTTAACCGTTTGAGATGTATATTGAGGATTGTACAACTAATAACAACATAGATCTAACCGAAATTACAGGCCCTGCTGATATTTTTAAATATTTCATAAACAATGAAGTTCTCGACATTATTGTCACAGAAACTAATCGTTATGTCACTCAACAAATAAACAAAGGACATGCCGAGAAGTCAAGAGTTAAAAGTTGGAGTGATACAGATATAAATGAAATTCGTAAGTTTTTCGCTATTCTTATTGTTATGGGGATTATAAAGGTGCCATTCATAAACTCTTATTGGTCAAATGATAAAATGTTCCATAACGAGTTTATAGCCTCAACAATGAGTTGTGACAGATTCTGGTGATAGACTAAGCAAAATTCGAAACCTATTTAACATTTTAGTAAAAGAATATAATAATATTCTAAACGCTGGAAGGGTACTAACTATTGATGAGACAATGGTGCCTTTCACGGCGAGACTACATTTTAGGCAATACATCCCTAACAAATTTCATAAATATGGAGTCAAACTATATAAACTATGTTCTCCAAATGGATATACTTTTAATATAAATGTGTATGCTGGAAAGGGAGATACAACCGCACCACAAGGTCTTTCGCATGCAACAGTAAAAGAACTTTTTAAAATAGTTGAGCCAAAAGAGGGGAGGACTATTTATGGAGATAATTTTTATTCAAGCATACCGCTAGTCGAAGATTTATATAAGCAAAAAATGATTTATTGTGGAACATTGAGGAGCAATAGAAGAGGAATACCAAAAGAAATATGTCAAAAGCTAAAAAAGGGACAGGTTATTGGACAAGAATGTAATGGTGTAAAAATAATAAAATGGTTTGATAAACGACCAGTGTTAATGATATCCAGTGATCCTAGTCGTGATGCGACCTTAACTGCTACTAAAAAAAAAAGAATTTATATCTTTGTATATATTTAAATATTCTGTTTGCAATGAACGTTCTCTCACAGAGATGCTTAGACATGAACCAAGAAATTTACGCCTGCTTTATTGATTTCGAAAAGGCCTTTGACAAACTACAACATGAACCACTAAGACAAGTTCTAATAAAGAAAAATATAGACAGCCGAGATATTCGAATTATATGCAATCTATATTGGAATCAAACAGCAAATGTCAAGGTTGAGGGCAGATCTGTGCACAAGCACTCGAGGAAGAAGATCTTGGTCTGATAATAAATGGTGAGACGATCAACAAAATAAGGTATCCTGACGATACAGTTCTCTTAACGGGAACGCTAGTAAAACTACAACATCTCGTTCAAAGTCTCAATATATACTGTAACAGTTACGGCTTGAAAATTAATTTGAAAAATACTAAATTTATGGTAATCACGAAATCAAAGAACATCAGAGCTAATCTTGTAATAGACAATACAACGATTGAGCGTGTGCCCTGTTATAAATATCTAGGTGCTTGGATCACAGACGATACTGATCAAACAAAAGAGATTAGATGTAGAATAGAAATCGCTAGATCAGTCTTTAATAGAATGCGCAAACTCTTTTGCAATCGTAATATCAATATAAAGTTACGAATACGAATGCTGCGGTGTTATGTCTTTTCTACCCTGTTATATGGAGTTGAGGCATGGACACTAAAACAGTTGACCATAAAAAACAGCGAAGCTTTCGAGATGTGGTGCTATAGGCGCATTCTCAGAATATCATGGATGGACCGCGTCACTAACAAGCGGTACTACACGCGTAAATACTCCAAACTTTAGACAAAAGATGCGAAATTCTAAATGAGATAAAAACTAGAAAGATGGAATACTTGGGGCACATTGTAAGAGGTGAAAAGTACGAACTTTTAAGAAACATCATGCAGGGCAAAATTAAGGGCAAAAAAAAGTGTGGGAAGAAGAAAAATATCGTGGCTTCGTAATCTACGTGAATGGTTCGGGTGTAGTTCGATTGAACTTTTTAGGCGCGCTGCTAACAAAGTCGCAGTGCCCATGATGATTTCCAATCTCCGCTAGGAGTGGCACGAGAAGAAGAAGAATATATTTAAATATACCCACATACAAAGATATAAATTCTTTGTCATCGACTATAACAAAGCTAAAAAGGGGGTAGATTTTAGCGATCAAATGTCCTCTTACCATACATCAGTTAGAAAATCTCTGAAGTGGTATAGGTAAGTTACATAGTTTGTCAAATTGTTCAGCATTTTACATTGCTAATTTGTAGTAGAAAAGTCATGTTTGAATTAATTTTGGGTACATCATTAGTTAATGCATGAGTAGTCTACAATATGGTTTCCCAAACTAAGATTGGAATTTTGAAATTCAGAAAACAGCTGAAAATCTTGTTATACGTTTGTAAAACCTGATGGTCCTGGTCGAAAAAAGAAGAAACCATGTAAAGGATGTTACCAAACACTACGAACAACTTTAAAAAGCAGAGAAGCTGACAAAAAAGTTCGCCGTGTAACAAGTTTTTGTAATAATTGTCCAAATATGCCTGGATTTTGCTTACCTTGTTTTAATAAACACCATGAGTAACTTTTTCTTAGAATAGTTATTAAAAAAAATCATATTTCATTTGTTATTATTTTCTTGCGGTACACGTTTATTTTGATATGTATTGAGCTACGAAGCAAGAAGAATAAAGTTAATTTATTTTGGTTCCATAATTTATTATTATCGTTTAATAAAATTAGATACTTTTGCTCAGATATGTCAAAATTTGTCACTTTACTTACATATCCCCGGAGGCTTGTAACGCACAAAACTTAAGCGTACTTACATATCGCCGGCGATATGTAATGAAAACAAGGACAAAGTACAGATTTTCCGTTACGCAGTCAAGATGTTAATTTCTGTTCGTTATTTTTCATGGTGTTTTTAATTTAAATCTGCTTAGAATAAATAAATGATGACTAGAAACGAATTGATCGAGAGTAGTGAATCAATGTGAAGAACCGCTATTTCATGACACTACCCGCGACGCCTTTTCGTGGCGCTAATTCCGCGACGCTCGCTTCAGCATTGAAATATAGAGAAAAAAGTAATACAAGGACTTTACAGAAACTTCGCTTCAAAATCCTAATATATAGGTACTTTAACAGAAAAATTAGTTACAAAAATTCAGAAAAATGTAAATAAATGAAATCAAAAATCACTTACCATTTTAAAAATTCGGGTTGATAATCAAATCTAAACATACAATCATCATCTTCGACATAGTTTTCATTGAGTAGCGTATATAACTCTTTGAGCACCAACGGTTCGTCTAGATTAAGAGTGTCCCACATAAAACCGTCAGGCAAACTGTACGGTTCTTGTCTAATTTCAGCAGGTTCTTTGTCTGGCTCAATGGCTTCGTTAACAGTTATTTTTTCGTCTAAAATGAAGTATGTAAAGATGTAGCAAATGAAAAATATAATTACAGTAGTAGAACTTCGATTATCCTAATCGAACGACCGGTTATCCGAACTCCCGACTCACACAATTTTTACAAGACGCTGATTCATTAATTCATTGTTACTCGGCAAATAACATAGATAAGAGGATCATTTAATATCGGTCAAAATAGTGTATGCGTCGCATTCTTGAAATTAATAGAAAATGCCTAAACGTAAGCGCGTTGTACTTTCTATGAAAGATAAATAAGATATTAATAAACTGTTAGAGAAAGGTATCCAATGAGTACACAGTTGGTAAATCTACGATTACAGATATAAAAAAAACAAAAGACGAGCATAAAGTAACTTTATGTCTCAGCTTGATTCTTCTGACGAGTCCACAAGTCGTAAAACTATGCAGCTTGATTCAAATAAAGATTTAGGTGATGTATATAAGTGGTCAACTCAAAAAAGATCCCAGTGAGAACCTATTTCTGGTCCGATTCTGTCTGAAAAAGTAGTTCGATTCAATGAAAAACTCGGGAGGTTAGTCAAATTGTCAAGCAAGCACTGGCTGGTTAAAACGATTTAAGTCGATACATGGCATTCGTGAGCTTCAAATACAAGGAGAAAAACTATCTGCTGATTTATCAGCACCAGTCATTCAAAATAAGACTAAGTGAATTACTGAAGGAAGGAAATTATGCCTCGAAAACATTTACAATGCAGAACCAACTGGGCTCAATTAGAAAGCTTTGCTACGAAAAACTCTTGCGCCACATCGTGAATTAGCAGCACCTGGGCCTAAAATAACTGGCAGCCACCGATTGCCCATGCTTGTCATTGGTAAAAGCAAGAAACCACGTTGTTTTAAACACGTTAATATGAATGCGATGCCTATCGTTTATACTTCGCAAAGAAGTGCTTGGACGAATAGTAAAATTTTTATGAAATGGTTTATAGGAACTTTTATAACACCCGTTAAAGCGCATCAATTAAAAATGGTAAAAGAGAGAAACCATTTTTGCTTCTTGATAACGCCCAACTCATCCATCATGTGATATCTTAAATGAAAAAGATGATTTTATAAAAGTCATGTTTCTTCCACCTTATGACTTCATTATTACAGCCCATGGATCAAGGGGTTATTGAAACTTTCAAACGGTTTTATAGAAAAGGATTGTTACGTAAGTTAGGTACTTTTGAAAAAAGGAGTGGAGGAAGAAGAAATCATCATCATCATCAATCAGCCAATCGCGTCCACTGCTGGGCATAGGCCTCCCTCAGTTCTTTCCAGTGTTCTCTACACTGGGCCGCTTGTAGCCAGTTTCCCGCTACACGTTTAATGTCATCGGTCCATCTAGTCGGTGGTCGTCCTCGGCTTTTTTTTATAAGGGAGAAATAAGCCTGATAAGAAATTATGGAAAAATTGATTTGAAGGACGCGTCCTACATGATCGGAGCAGCATGGAACAGTGCAAAACTGCAGAAAAAAGCGTGGAATAAAGTTTTGCGTTTAAAGGAAAATAGTGAAATAGTGGAAAAAAGAGAATATGCCAAAGAAAAACAGGAAGATAAGTCTGAAATAATAGATATGCTAAAAAAACTCAATTGCGACGGATGTGATGAAGAAGAAGTTCAACAATGGATGGATTTCGACAATTATGATCCATGATGATGAGCAAATGAATAATAAAACTGACACCACATCTAGCACCTCTTTAATTGCAAGTTCAGATAATGAAGATGAAAACATAATTGGTGATTCAGGAGCTTTTACTTCCTTAGATATGGCCCTGCGTTGGTTTTAAACATAAGCTGAAAGTGACCAGTATCAAATAACTGTTCTTAAAAAAATACGCGACCTAGCCTGAAAGAATCTACTGTTAGTATAGTATGATATCTAAACTCAAATTATTTCAGTTAATAGATGTTCAAATAGACGCAAAATTTATTGTGACATTTAATCCGAAAATAACAAAAATTTTTACGCAAACGCTCCTACAAATAAACGCAATGACGTCCATGAGCCAAATGTGTTCAACAGACATTTGGGTTGGGTTTCTTTGATATTACACTATTTTATAACTTTATTAGGTATACAATTCTAATAAAAAGAAATATACTATTTTTAATATAATTGAAAAGAAATTGGCAGAACGATCGTTTAGAAACCAGAAAAAGAACAGTGTTGCCAGGTAGAAAAGAATGAAAATCTCCAAATGACGGAAAAAAAGTCGCTACATTGTCGCTATCTATCATTATTGTTGAAAAGCCAATTGGGGACAAAAACAGAGATCCGCCGAAGGCGCCACCGTAGGACCAACCGTCGAAGGCGGAAAATTTTGAGGGTGCTACGCCCAATTTTCACCCAAAACTCGTTAAAATTGTTAAAAAAAAACCATTTTGGTGTCTTTGTCTAGACAAAAATGAGTTAGGTATCTGCTAAAAATCCGAACCAAAAAAAGATATTCTACTCTTTTAACATGCTATATAAATGTTATATAGCGTACTAAAATAGTAGACTACAAAATACACCTGCAAGTTTTTACCAGTAATTTTATTTTTAATACAAAAGGCCAGAAAAAATCGCACGAAAAACATACCTAAATATAGCTGAAGAACCTACTTACTAAAGGTAAACAGAAACTGAAAAGTAAACTGACCTATTCTAATAAAAGTAATATGAGCTATAAAAACTTTGAAATGGAATTTAAAAATATATAAAAAATTGTGACGTCTAAAAAATTATTCACTGTCACTCTCACTAGAAAAGACTCTTCCTCTTTCGGAAGATTTTCATTACTATAAATATTTTTCATTTTAGACAGATGATTGTCATTAATTTTGTGAGTCAAACAACAATTTGTATTTTGCTTAATATTTAACTCTTAGAATACAGTACAAGAGTTCAACATTATAGTTTATTCGTCTTCCGGGTTTGGATCGTGTCATTTGTGAGTGACCCAAAAGTGGGTTCATCTCGACGTTTCGCTACAATTGTATGTAGCTTCTTCAGGAGAACAAAGAAAAAGAAATCAAAAGACAGGAAGATGGGTAGTTAGCAAAGGTAACTCAGTTACTCAACGCAACCAGAGGCGAATACTAACTACCAAGATGGGCATTTGGTCACAGTAACTCAACTACTTAACGCAGCCAGAGGTGAAAACCAAAGAGGTGGGATTCACTCCCCGCCTCTCGACGCGTTAGTGTTCTGAGCTGTTGAACGTGAATCCCTGTCCTGGCATTTCTTTTTCACCTCTGGCTGCGTTAAGTAGTTGAGTTACTGTGACCAAATGCCCATCTTGGTAGTTAGTATTCGCCTCTGGTTGCGTTGAGTAACTGAGTTACCGTTGCTAACTACCCATCTTCCTGTCTTTTGATTTCTTTTTCTTTGTTCTCCTGAAGAAGCTACATACAATTGTAGCGAAACGTCGAGATGAACCCACTTTTGGGTCACTCACATATGACACGGTCCAAACCCGGAAGATGAATAAACTATAATTCTGACTCTGGCCGTGGAAGCCTACGATTTCATAAGAGTTCAACACATCAGCATTTCCGTGTCGAATTATTAAAATAGCCATTACAATTTTTAAAATATTTATGATATATTTTAGTTTATGCTCGAGAAAGTCGCTACAAAATGGCGTTTTTTTGTAAATCGACTAAATAAACTACACTATTTAATCACTTAAGTATTGTTACACTTAGTTTAAATCACTTAATTCAAAACCAACTTGTTTACAATACTAAACTCAATGATAGTACCTAACTATATACTTCAAAATCTGAATTACAACTGTTGTATAAACTATCAGATTTATATTTATATGATGACTTCATATTAAAATCTAAGATTTATATCTGTCATAACAGTATTTAAAAAATGGGGAGAATTTACTATTGTACAATTCAGCACATTGGACCATTTAAATCGACACCTTAAACCGAATTTAAAACAGTCGTATATTCGTGGAATGAAGTATAAAAATATGTTATTGCAAACTTTTTTGTTTAATTTCTCCATCCATCCAATCATATCCGATTTTTTACCAATTTACATACCGATACACGTCATCGGCGTCATAGCCCGTGACGTCACATGATACCAACACGAAATATTTAGGCGGTAGGTGTGTTCTTTTTTAGAATCACTTTGCGGTAAGTGTGTTCTTTTTTAGAATCACTTTGCCGACTAGACTGGCATTACAGCCACTAGACATATTTTATTTAGTAATATACTATGCGTATATTATTATATACGCGTAGAAATAATATTTAAAGATTTCTATTAATAATAACTTAAAGAAATACAGAATAATTTGTTTCATTTAATTTGTATAAATGCATTATAAAGCGTTTTTATGAAGATCATTTGTTCAGAACACACTGTAACTGTAATCAAACGAAGGTGAAATTTTGGCATAAATTGGTAACACTTATTTGACAGTTGCGGTGTTGACACTTTTTGTACTTTATTATTTTGAATTTTAAAGTGAATACCTCTTGTTTTATATTTTTACCTATTTAATAAAATCTGTTCTTTTTAGAACAAAATTAGTGTGTTTTATTTCAAAAATGTCACGTAAGAATTTAAATAGTCTCTGTAAGGAGATGGTAATACTGTTGCAATAATTATGTGACGTATTTGATTTAAAATGGATTTAGGATTTTTTCTATACTTTGGCAACTTAATCTCTGACGTAGATAATGACGTGCAACAGTATGTAAACCAGATGAAGTATAAATAAATATGTAAATATATAAATATGGCTTTCATTCACTTGTGTATAAATATGTATGACTATAATCAATATAGTTCCATTACCTGAACAAATTGTTTTTCTGAACACCTATTAGTTTGGATAATTGACGCTCTACTGTATATACATAAAAACTTAATTTTTATATAATTTAATTCTTAAATAACTTTCTTTTATATGACCCAATTTGGATCATTTCTTGGATGCATACAATAAAAATCGTCCCAAATGAATTGGAATGAGATGAACTAACAGTTATACACACCTAATTGTAGCAATTGAAGAAATGAAATTGGCCAGCATGCTCTTCAGATAGAAACTGTACTGAGCATATGTAGCATGGCATCTGGAATTCTTAAAAAAAAGGGGATAAGCTAGGTAGAAGAAAATTTTAACATTATACCAAGAACGGAACTGAATTGGAACTATAAAATGTGAAATTATTCATATCCATTTGAACTTAATTTAAACATGAATTTTGTTTATTTATTTTGGCATACTTTTGATAGTATTTATTTATGACCTCATTGAACCTCTGGCATGCAAAGATAATTTTCATTCTATTACTGTAGGCTGTTTATAAAGCATATAGGATTAGATAATGAAAATAATTAGGCATTTTTGTATATCCATTCATACTAACTGATTTTTATTTATTGTGCTGTAAAAGATTAATGAATTAGTTAAATAGAACCACTGGATTTTCTACTGTGATTAAAGATTCAAGTGATACTTATAAACAATGTTGGTGACAAGTATATTAACAATAAAACTTGGAGATTAGTTTTTTGTTCATAAGCTTGTTTTCAGAAGCAAAATGATTATAATTTTTCTAGATAAATGAATGACAAACAATAAAAATCACTGGAAGTTAATAGAGCATTATAACTTAAAACAGGTTATATACAAAAATATTTTTGATACATAAGAAATTTTTAGATAATTATGTACCTAGCTCAACTCATTTTACATTTTTACTTTGATTTTAGAGACACAAAGGTCAGATCTGGTGGGCTTGCCAACTTTGTACATTTTGGAATAAAAAGTGTGGCAGCTGAGTTTGTCCTAAAATTACCCGGACTAAAATCACTCTGGGATTCCCTTAATGTTGGTTCTACATATCATTTTAATTTTCATCTTATATTTCAATAACAAGTTCTTTGTCGAAAGCGAATTTTAAATTGTAATTCTATTCGTGTGATATCTTTATTGTTTGGGACTAAGGGTGTGTGAGTGTGTGTGTGTGTGTGTGAGAGAGAGAGAGAGAGAGAGAGAGAGAGAGAGAATGAAGAGAGAGAGAGAGAGAGAGAGAGAGAGAGAGAGAGAGAGAGAGAGAGAGAGAGAGAGAGAGAGAGAGAGAGAGAGAGAGAGAGAGAGAGAGAGAGAGAGAGAGAGAGAGAGAGAGAGAGAGAGAGAGAGAGAGAGAGAGAGAGAGAGAGAGAGAGAGAGAGAGAGAGAGAGAGAGAGAGAGAGAGAGAGAGAGAGAGAGAGAGAGAGGAGAGAGAGAGAGAGAGAGAGAGAGAGAGAGAGAGAGAGAGAGAGAGAGAGAGAGAGAGAGAGAGAGAGAGAGAGAGAGAGAGAGAGAGAGAGAGAGAGAGAGAGAGAGAGAGAGAGAGAGAGAGTATTTTAGCCTATTCAAAGAATTAGTATGGATACATTACATTATTTTTTTAAGACTAAATATGATACAATAATTTAAAAAAAATAGTGGTAATTACAATATTGTCAGATTATTAAGCTCCAACCAAGAAACGAAACACACTCAAAGAAACTTGTTTATTGCCTTAATATGTAGAGGATTGCTTTAAATAGAGTTCTCTCTGGATACCTACTGTGTGTTTTCAGGTATTTGTCAGGTATTTTCAGGCAAGTGTTCTATTTGATGGATTATGAAGTGTATTATCAGTATGATACATTCTTGCAATTTGTTGAAGACTGGCTGTTTCACCCCCTTTTATATTATTTTTTGCAAGACTTTTACAATTATCGAAAATTGTAGGACCATTTTCACCATGGGTCTGCAAATTATTTTATAAAAGGGTGGCATTTGAAACCAATATCAACATCCCACAGTCCCAAAAAAAGTACAGTGTCGATCAGAGCCCACAATTCAACTGGCTCTATATCTGGCTAAAAATGTTAACATGACCTCAGAGACACTAGTTCAGAACACACTTTATGATTTTAGGTCATAGCAATCGAAAGATCTGAGTAATCCTGAAGGAAAAGCACATTTACTCTAGCAAACAAGGATGTTTTCATTGATTTCCATCTTAGTTATTGCCAACTATGTAATTGACGTAATACTTGCCATTTTTTCTGTAGCTCTTTTTAGTAAATGATGATTCTATCAGGATCACAGATTTGTTATGCAAGTATGCAAAACTTTTCAAAGGTTGAAATTTTATACACAAACCTGTCAATAATTACATAGAAAACAATAAAGTTCTCGAAAATGTGCCGAAAGAACACAAAGGTTATCAAAAGGGATTGAAAACAATGTTAAAAAAGGCAAGAATGGTCCAAACAGTTCAAGTATGTACCACACGACTTGAAAACTTGCTGCTAACATGTGTAATCTTCATGCTAACATGAAACACAAAATATATACTAATAGAACGTGAAATGTAGTAATACATAAAAATAACACAAAAAATGTGTAAGCATTCCAAAATGGAAAAATAGTACTAAATGGGCCCGAAAAAATGTCAAAATGACGAGAAAATGTACTAAAACAAGACAAATTTTCAAGTTGTGTAAATAACTCAAATCATGCTAAAGTGGCTCAATAATGTTCCAAAAGAAGAAGAAAATGTGCCAAAAATTCTATGAATATGTTCCATAAAACTGTAGGGCAAGGTAATTACAAATAATTATAACTTTTCTATTCAAAAATTAAATAACAGATCTCATATAAAAATTTACATTTTCACAATTGGTTATACACATGGGAAATAGAAATGACCTAAAAATTGAAATGTATTTGTCAATATGTTTATTTACTACAGTTATGCTGGACACTTTAATTATACATTTGGATACATTGTATTTTTCATGTATGGGAAATGAAATATTATATGATAAGCAACATCACAAGAGACCAGGCCCATAATATTTATTAGAGTTTATCCTCTGGCTTTTAAAAAACAAAGAATGTGTATTTAGTTTAGTTTTAGTAATCAATAAGTCACAATTTGCATGCATCCACAATACATACAAAAATACCTCCCCTTCGAGAATTAATTGTGTTTTACGAAAATAAATAATAATAACAGTTTTTTCTATGTTATATTCAATTTTATTATTTTTATTTTGTTTCAGTGGAAAATAAGTTTATCACACATGCATCCACACAACCACGGAAAAGCTAACAAAAATGTATGAAAGGGGAAATGTACTAAATGATTGCAAAGTTTTAGTTTTTTTTTTCAAGTTTGAAGTTTATCGATTGTTACTACACCAACAATCCATGTTAGCAACCACTAGACCCAAAATGTGGGTCCCAAAAAGTTCTTTATTTTGATTCATTATTTAAAATCCTATGTTGAATGTTACCTAAGATAGAAAATATCTCATTGGTAATTGATAATATGATTTAAGAGCATTGAAAAAATAGAAAAAGGTTTAAAAATAATATGTTAATACTAAAATTGTAACAAATACTTGCAATAATACCAATAATCATATATGCTTTAAAGACTAGCACCTCGCAATAAGAAAAATTGTAGCATGAAAGAAACAATGATTTAGACAAAATAAGAATATAATTGGAATAATAAAAACACAATTGACATATGTGTCAGCACATACTGAGATACTGAAGAAAAACCATAAAAATATACAAATAAATTTACAGTATACAGTTTTAGATCACATAGGATATTTTATTATTCTCTGTTCAGCAGTACAGTGTCAAAGTTTAGCTAAATCCTGAAATATTTTTAATGCAACATAAAGAAGTTGCCTAAACAGTCGTAAATTTGGTTAACTGATTGTATATATTATTTTGTGACTTAATTTTCCCCTTATCTACCTCTGAAATGATTGATTTCTCAAGTTGTGATATTAGCTTAACTAAAGTATTTGAAAAAATCATTAAAAATTACCCAGAGATATATATCTAAAAGTGTTGATAATTTTTTTGGAATCCTGTTACTTAATTAACATTTATAATCCCTTCAAAAGATAAGAATATAGCTGCACTGCCCAAGTGTTTAAACAGGAAGTGCATTGAACACTATGTGAGCATTTCAGATCAGTCAACTATCATTAAAATACTGGACAATCTTTTTATAATGAGCATGCAATAAGCAATAGAAAACATATGGTCAATTATAAAAAATTTTACTAAACATTCAGTCTTAGCTAGCAATTATGAGCAAGCTGTTCAATGGTTTGAAAGTATGTTGTGGATCATAAGTAGTGTATCATGCTTAGCAAATGAATTTAATAATATAGTAGTAATAAATAATAATACTAAATCAATTTAGTAATATTAAAATGACTTCAAGTATATGTCAGGCAGACCAGTGCTTATATTATTTCAAATTTACTTTATTTATTTTATTAATGACATTCAAACATGTTTACTTAAATCTTTTGTGCAAAAAGTTTCCAATGCAATACAATAAAATCTAGGTTGATGTGAACTATAAAATAACTAATAAAATGGTAGCCACACATCAAATTTTTAATTAAACAGCTGAATATTATTCATTTTTAGATATTAATACAGAAACTCAACTTCCTGTAATCATGTCTTCACTCATATCTGCAGTATTACTCATAGTAGCAATAATATTTACATTAATCAACAAAATTAGTCCCAAAATATATATTGAAATGATATGATAATCTACTGAGTACGCAAACTAATGAATATTTAAAATGTGCCAATTACATCTCATCAAAATGAAAGTAGCTCTTACCCATTTTAGGTACAGGCTGGGTATTCCAAAACTGGAATGTCTTCTTTAGTGCTTCTTCTGAACTTTTTGCAGGTTTTTGTGATAGAGTAAATACTTCCATCGCTGCTTTTAGCTCCTTAATTGATATTGTATTAATAGGGTTTGATAGGTTAGATAATAAGTTGTTTTCGGCTTGGACAACCTCGTTGCTTTGGTCAGTGTTTTCTTCTTGGTTTTCATTCTTTTTCTTTTTATTTTTGTTACGTTTCTTTGCACTGAAAAGAAAGCAAAATTATGACTATTTTGATAAATTAGAGAGCCAAGAAAAATAAATGAATTTCAACAAATATATTTATAACAAATAACCACACTCAGTATTGATTTGTCATGTTTCTATTCTTCATTACATGTAATAAAATTCACTTATAGGTTAAAAATATTTTTTTCTTAAAAGCAAATGTATTGGAGAGATAATATACCTTTTATTTAATATTATTCCGTCCGTACTTCCATCGACTTCGCTAACTTTTTCCAACGAGTTTTTTTCACTTTCTTCCGACATTTTGGGCTAAATTGACAGCAAAAGTAGACATTAACCAACATTAACCCATTAAACATTAAAATCATGTATCATTTGTGCTGCCAACCTGTTGAGATTTTATATAAAACAAAAGTCCCTAAATTGGAGGCACTTTATGACGCAAATTTCCATTTCCACTCTCAAGTGGGTATGCTTAAAAAAAATTCAAGGATAAAAACAATTTGTTTAAAAAAATTTAAAAGACTCTTTAAAGGATTTTAACATATTTCGGGCACTTTTAACGGTATTCTTAAGTTCTTTTACTGTTGAATAATGTTATACACCATATTTCTTTGAAGTCTTTATAGATTTTAAATCCTCTTAGCATATCCGCCCATGATGGATTCGACCATAGATAAATAATATAATGATTCGACTAAGAAAGATAGACTGTGGCAAAATTACAAAATAATTTTTTTGCGCCCTGAAGAAAAAGTTCTGAATGATAATTTAAAAAGTAGATGATGATTATAAAAACAGAAGAATCTGGAAGAATCAGAATTCAAAGGTCTTACGTCACATGTCATATGAATAGACATTTTCGGCAGTAGCATTTATACCGCATGCTTTTCATTAAAATTACTTTTGCTTGATTTAAATATAATTAGATAACTATGGCCCAAAACAAATTTAATGATCTAGCTGGTAAATTTGGTAAGGGAGGTCCTCCTGGTCTTGGCATTGGATTAAAATTGTTAGCTGTTGGTGGTGCCGCTGCCTATGGAATTTCTCAATCAATGTACACAGGCAAGTACATGAACTGAAATTACTAAAGTTTAATATCCATCTTTAAAGATCATAGATTCGATACTTTAATCAAAGAATATAGATGCATATATTATATTCTTTGCTTTAATGGTTGTCAGTTGGGTGTATTTACTGGTGAATTCAAAAGTGGTACAATGGGAATTCATTCCCATATCCACTAATGCAGAGATCCAGGACAATACAAAATAATAAAAGAGGAATTCATTAGAGATGGTATTAAAACTTAGAACTGGTAAAAACACAGGGAATATCTAGACAGAAAATTGTCTAAATACAAGGACTGTTGTAATTTTTTTTTTCTATAAAAAACTTGGAATTAAAAATAGATATCCTGGTGTAAGAGTTAAATTTTGTATATACATGTACATATTTTTGTGGCTAATGTGAAATAGATTAAAAGACAATACAACAGAGATAGTAAATTTTTAATGTTTGTCCAATTACCTCATTTGATCAATAATCTTTAATTTATTAGTTTTTATTCTTTTTAGTTGAGGGAGGTCACAGAGCAATTATGTTTAACAGAATAGGGGGTGTCCAAAAAGAAATATATACTGAAGGTTTGCATTTCAGAATTCCATGGTTCCAGTATCCTATCATTTATGATATTAGGTATTTTTTTTTTAATTTAAACTTGAGTTATTTAATTAAGTGAATTTGATCTAAGCAAAGCTTTTTATGTACAAACATCATATTATGTAATTGTTAACACATGATTCATTCCAGATCAAGACCAAGAAAAATCTCTTCCCCCACAGGATCCAAAGATCTGCAAATGGTAAACATTTCCCTTCGTGTTTTGTCTCGACCCTTAGCTTCTTCTTTGCCAGTAATTTACAGACAACTGGGTTTAGATTATGATGAAAAAGTCCTTCCATCAATTTGTAATGAAGTCTTAAAATCTGTAGTGGCCAAATTCAATGCTGCTCAGTTGATCACCCAAAGACAACAGGTAAAGTAAAATGATTTTAACAAAACAGATAATGTTAGTGTTCATTTTACACAAAAATCACCAAAAAATCCACAAATTACCATTAAAAATAATCCTTTTTAGGTTTCCTTATTGGTTAGAAGAGAATTAGTAGAAAGAGCTCAAGACTTCAACATCATTCTTGATGATGTATCCATCACAGATTTATCATTTGGAAAAGACTATACAGCAGCTGTAGAATCCAAGCAGGTAGCTCAGCAAGAGGCACAGAGGGCTGCTTTTGTAGTGGAAAAGGCCAAACAGGAGAGACAGCAGAAGATAGTGCAAGCTGAGGGAGAAGCTGAAGCTGCTAAGATGATATCCTTTTTATTATTAAGATTTATGATTTATGCATGACACTTTTTAAAGTAGTGTAATAGTTACGTTATTAGTAACAATTTAACAAATAAAAAATACTTTATTGACAGGTATAAAGTACATTTTACATAATTATGAGAAACTTTTTGTATATTTTCCTTAACTGGGACTTACTTGGGGGAAGCCATTGGAAGAAATCCAGGATTTTTAAAACTAAGGAAAATCAGGGCAGCACAAAATATTTCTAGAACTGTAAGTTATGTTTTTTTATTTTTTCTTTATATATGATGCAATTTTTACATGATAGATAGATGTTAGGCAGTCTTAACATAACATTTCTTAAGGAGTTACAGAGGTCATGTATATTCAAAAAGTTATTACTTAATTTTTTTATTCCATGTAAAAGTATAGTACTTAAGAGTATTCATACCAAATTTGAAGGAAACTCAGGCAATATTACCTGATTTATAATTTGAATACTTCGCGGCCTATACATGCATTCTCAATTTAAAAACTGTAAACTCTAAACTTTAATTTTCTCAAGAATGAATTGTGTAGATTTTGCTGAAACTTTGCACAGTTCATCTTTATAGTATTGTTTCATGATGAAATGAAGGGATTGAAAAAAAAAAAACAGAAGTTCAAAGTTTTTAAATGAGTTTGAATGAATTTCGATCTCATAATTTTTAGCAACAGAAAACAAAGTTTCTAGAAAAATGTGTTCGAAGATTTTAAACTGACCACATGATATTGAGATCTCTATAACTATAGTAATATTACTCGAATTTACTTTAATTTTATACTTTACTATGGAATTAAAAATTTAAATCAATTTTATGAAAATACAAGAGCTATGTAACCCCTTAAGTTTGATTTGTTACAAAATATAAGTAGGTATTTCTTTTTATTTTTACTGCTTTTAATTTAATCTACAAAGTCCTTAGCTCTTGAAAGGTTTTCTGCATTACAGATTGTTTATTGATTGTAATACACTCCATTCTTATATTTTTTCGGTTTTTTCTAATTTTACGTTCCCCTTGTTCCATTTCTGTGTCTCTTCTTTTTGAGAGAAAATAGATCGAGAGAAGAATTTTTTTTCCAGTTTATTAATTTATTTATTTATTATTTTTTTATTCATTGAATAATATACAAGTTTAATTCAAATACACATTAATAAACCAAGAGCACTAGGTATGTTGGTTTTATGAGTACTATATTAACAATGGTTTTACAAAGTTTAAATAATATATTTTAAGTTTGCATTCTTCCTATACAAAAATACCCCTTTGCCTAGTAAGATAGTCATGAACATCCTTGGTGAGTGTTATGGAAATATTTATAAGTATTTGAGAAAGCTTATGTTTATAAATTAATACATAAGTTTGTATAGTATACATTGATTCAATATTGAATATTCTTGGACAGTATAGATCTGTTGGATGAAGGCATAGCAGTTGAAAAACATATTTAATAGCCCTGATCTGTAATACTGTAAGAGGATGAAGCTTTTTGTGATTGATAGTACCCCATATAATGGTTAAATAAGACATATGTGAGTTTATTAGAGGATAATACAACATTTTACAATGAGAGAAACTCCTAAATTTAGCAATTCTTCCTGGGAAGCCCACTGCTGGGGGTATTTTATTACATATATGTAATATGTGTTGTTCTCAAGTAAGTTGTATCTGTATACAATCCAAGATACTCGATAATCTCCTTTTTCTTAAATTTGAATTTTGCAAAGTTTAACTGCATCTACATTTGAAATTATCCTATAACTGAACTTCATATTAAGTGGAAGTTTGTGATACTTTCGCCACTCATCTATTTTTATTAAGTCTTTTTCTACATCAGTTTCTAATTTTCTTTGATCTTTATTGGTGCAAAGAAGACCAGTGTCATCAGCATACAGATACAACATGGACTGCAGTAGTAAATTGGATCATGAATTCATATAAATCAGGAATTGTGGGTCCCAATATAGACCCTTGAGGAACATGCAATATCTTCTGCTGAGCTTAGCATATTGTTAAATAGCACTTTTTATATTCTGCTACTTAAATAAATCCCCAACCAAACTCAAGTCATTACAATAATTATACTAAGTTAAACAATATAACTGTCTTCTTAGAGTGCCTACGGAGGTTGGCAATCATAATGGCTATTTTTATTTTAGAACTTGCTGCTCTAAACAAATCAATCCATTTGCATTGGTACCAATCACGTAGATTCTTTAATCATGAGTTCTGCCTTTGGCCAACAGATCTTCTTCCTTGAATCTTTCCCTGTATTATCAGTCTCAAAATTTCATATTTTGGTCCCCTCATTATGTGGCCTAGGTATTCCAGTTTTCTGGTTTGTATAGTGGTGATTAGTTCTGTTTCTTTACCAACCCTCTCCAGTACTTCTTTATTTGTAATTCTATCAGTCCATGATATTTTCAATACTCTGCGGTATAACCAGAGTCCGAAGGCATCGATTCTTTTTAAATTACATTTTTTTAATGTCCAAGTCTCAGCTCCATATAATAATATTGAAAATATATAACAGCGAATGGTACGTAGTCTGATCTCCAAATTTAGATTTTTGCACGTTAGGAGTGGCTTCATTCGTATAAATGCTGATCTGGCAATCTCTATTCGTCTGTTTATTTCTACAGTATGATCATTGGTTTCATTGATCAAAGTTCCCAAATACTGATATTTTTCTACTATAATATAACTGTAATAAACTTTAAATTAAACTTTAAAAACAGTTCAACTCCCATATTATTGTTCAAGCACTAATGTCAGTCACCATGTCATGGTCAAATGTATCAAAAGCTTTTTGCAAATTTAGTGATACAAACACACAACTTAACCCTTTGTCTAATTGTTGTATATGTCTATAATTAAGTCAGTAGCAGTAGAGACTTCTTCTTCACTGCCTTTACCACTCGGGGTGAGTCTTCACTGCATTCACTATTGCCTTCCATCCTCTACGATCTTGCGCTTCTATTTCCCATTGTTGTACCCCAATTTTAGATAAATTGGCTTCAACATCATCCTTCCATCTTTTTCTCCGTCAGCCTACTGATCTTCTACCATCTGGTCTTTCAAAAAACACTATCTTTAACATTCTCTCATCCTCTGCGACCTGCCTATCTTATTCGCTTTGCCTTGATGTGTCTAAGTAAGAGTCCATGTTTCACTGCCATATGTAATAATTGGGCGAATAATCAACTTATACAGTGTTAATTTAGATTTTCTTTTTAGCAGCCTTGATCTTAATAATGTTGAAAGGAAATGCTCTATTTCCCACGGCTATCCTTGTTGAGATCTCTTTTTCTATGTGGTTGTCAGCTGTGATTATCGCCTCCAGGCATTTAAACTCCTTTACTACTTCGAAGTGGTGATCATTAATACTGATGTTGTGCCTAACTTTTGGTCTTAGATTTTTTGTTACTACCATGTATTTTGTCTAATTCATTTATTCAGACTACTTGTTTCCTCCTAGAGCTGTGCAAACATCTCCCTCACGTATCTTGTAGAATGAGTGAATGCATCTATATCATCAGCAAAGGGCAGCAACAGTTTTGATCCTTGATCAGCAAATCCTCCTGTCAGCTCAGACGATATTTTACTTATTGCATATTCTAAAGCAAGATTGAACAGCAATGGTGGTGATACACAAGGGGTCCCCTTGCCTAAGTCCTGAATTTATAGCAAATGGCATCAATGTTCTGCTTCCTATCTTTACTTGTGCATATGAGTCTGTCACGCACATTTGTGATATTTCAACTAATTTTCTTGGTATTCCTATTTCTAACATTGCTATCCACAATTTACTTCTTTTTATGGAATCATATGCTTGCTGGAAATCTATGAATATTTGGTGCACATTGCGGTTGAATTCCCAGTTTTTCTCTAATATTTGTCGGATAGTAAATATCTGATCTATAGTTGACCTTCCAGCATGAAAGCCACATTGGTAGTCGCCTAGAATATCTTCCGAATGTGGTGTGAGACTCTTTAGCAAGATAATTGATAGCACTTTATATAATTTGCTAATAAGCAATATGCCTTTATAGTTTCGGAATTGTTCTTTGTTTCCTTTCTTATATATGGGGATTATAACACTTTCATTCCATTCTCTAGGCATTTTCTGTTGTTTCCATACTCTCAGAATGATTTCATACAATTTTTGATGTAAAAGGTTTCCTCCTTTTTTTAACAACTCTCCATTTATGCCATCATTTTCTGGTGCTTTTAGAGACGCGATCACATCCTTTACTTCCTCAAGTGTAAGTGCTGGTATTTCGATATCTGCAGAATGAAACGTAATATCTGCTTCCTCCATCTCACTTTCAATATTTAGTCAATTCCGAAAGTATTCCTTCCATCGTTCAACGATTTTTGTTTCTACCATTATAAGTTCACCTGATTCTCTCACAGATAGGTCGCAAAAGGTATGCCTGGAGAAAAGGGGATGTAAGGTTTACTCTGAACCGATCAATTTAGAATTAGGTATACCACAGGGGAGTGTTCCGGGGCCTTTTCTCTTTGTGGTCTACATAAACGACCTTCCAAATGTGGTGGTTAGTAGTTCCTCAAACCTTGTAAATTTTTCAGATGACTCAAATGTGCTTTTCTGGGAAAAAACTTTAGAAACACTCCTCACAGTGGCAGAGCAAATTCTAAGCAAGGCTGAACGGTGGTTCAGTGGAAATCGGTTGTTGCTTAATACTGATAAGACAGTTTTTGTCTACTTTAGAACCAGCCAGTCACGAGACCAGTTTCCAGATACAATTAATTTCCTATCAGAAAACACGGAACCTGCTAGGTCAGTTAAATTTCTTGGTATTCATATTGACCAGAATCTGAATTGGGGGGAACATATACAAAATACAACAAAAAATCTGAATAGAGCTTGCTACTCATTAAGAGTGTTAAAGAGCTATCTAGACCAGGGGATTTTACTATCAGTATATTATGCAAACTTTTATTCTGTTATGTGATATGGAGTAATCTTCTGGGATGCTGCAGTAGATAGCTCAACTATCTTTATAGTCAAAAAAAGGCATTCCGGGTGATATTAGGACTAAAGGCGGGAGAATCCTGTAGAGGTTGATTCAAGTCAATATACTCACTTTCTCAGCCATCTATATATTTGAATGTATTATGTTCCTTTTTAAAAATTTTTCTTAGTTTTATCACCTGCTTCCCAAATATGAATATAATACAAGAAGCCTTAATTTGAATTTGCCACTTCACAGATTGTCTATAACAGAGAAAAGTCCTTTGTATGCGTGTGTTAAATTTTATAATAGTCTACCATCTGACATTAAACAGGAAACACTCTATAGAGCTTTTAAAATAAAGGTTTTTCAACACCTAGTTGACATTGAGCCCTATACTGTGGCGGAGTGCCTGGCCTATCCTTCTCCTTAATCAGCATATTTAATTTGTAATGTTAATATATTTTAAATGTGTGATGTCAATATATATTTTTTTAATCTGTAGTTAATAATGTGACGTTATTTGCTCAATTATGTTTAAAAATTTATGCAAATAAAAATTTACTCTACTCTGATTCATTTCTCATAGGCTGTGTTACTCCAACACTTGCACCTTTTCTGACTAACTTCATTTCACTAAAGAATTTCCTTATTGGATTCCTCTCGCCACTTCTGTCCATTTCCCGGATTTGCTGTTCAAGGTAGCTTCTCTTTTTAGTTCTGAATAGTCTCCTTGTTTGTTCTCTTGTTCTGTTAAAATCTGCTTTGTTCTCATCTGTGGGATCTTGTAGCATTTTCAATCTTCTTTCGTTTTTATTTCCAGATAGATTATTAGACATGACAGTAGAGACTTTTATGTCTAAAATCATATTGCCTATTAAACCAATAGCTGGATGAATCAAAGAATTATAAGATTTGATTATCTACACATGATTCCAAGATTTTTGACATGGCTGTTAAAAGAGATATTGACTGATAACTTCAATTAGGTTGCTTTGAGTCCCCTCCTTTATATAATGGTACCACTGTCAATATTTTCATGGAGTTAGGGATTAATTCAGTAATAAGAGACAGGTTAACTAAATTAGTTTTACTTTTAGTTTTACTAATAAGTAGCAGCTTCCCTGCAATATTTCTAATAATACCCACACTAAAGCCATTGCAGTCTGGAAATTTTTTCTTTTTTAGTTTTCTCATGACCTATCTAATATGGTTTTCCGAGACTTGTTGCCATTTGAATATGCATTTTTCTGGCACTATATTTACTGGAGGTTTTGATGGAGGTGATATTTTATTTGCTAGAGATTTTCCTACATCTGCAAAGTATTGATTTAATTGATTAGATAATATCCTCAGTTCTATTGAATGTAGAATTATTATATTGTAACTCATGAATTCTTATTCATGTTAATTATTAATGTTAACCATATTTTTTTGCTGGTGATTTTTTTTGCAGGTGATTTTTTTTGCATCTGAAATAATTTTCAGAAATTAAAGAAATCTTACTTACACTTTTAGATCTAACGAAGCAAGGGGATATAAATTCGAGAAAGTGAAACATTTTACTTATCTGTGGGTTATTATAGAATAGAAAAGACATGATGATCATGAAGGTCTAAGATTACAAATATGTATCGAGAAAAAGAAAAAGATAAAACTTTACAAGCTGGTAATAAGACTGAACATATGTTAATGAAGAGTAGACAATGACAATATCAGATGTAGAGAAATTGGAAAGGTGGGAAAGGAAAAATGCTTTGTGCTGTATATGAAGACAAAAACACTGTGGAAGGTTGGGTACAATGAACAAACAAGGAGCTAGAAGAACTGTATAACGAACCTTTCATCAGCCAATTATTACTTAAAACAAAAAACTTAAATACACTTAAATAGGCAATATTTTAGCCAGAGGCTATCACAGTTACACATTATAAATAATAATTTTTCTCATGATTTATAATATAATTATGAATTGTTGATTTTGTAAGTATTAATTTTAATTTGTTTTCCAGATTGCTAATTCCCAAAACAAGGTATACCTCAGCGGAAACAGTTTGATGTTGAACATCTCAGATAAGGAGTTCGATGATATGTCAGAGAAGTTGCAAAGTAAGAAGTGAATAAAACCGTTATAAAATATCAAATCAATTGCAGAGGAAACTACATACTGATACTACCATAAGTGTAGACTCCGAATTTTTGTTAATAAACTTTTATACTTAGTATATTTTACTTTACATTGTTGAAAAATCGGCATTTTGGGCCCCAATACAATTGTTACTATGTGTAAATATTCATCTGTTTAATAAACGCTCAGAATTGCTAAATGATTCTATTATTTCTGCAAGTTTTGAATAGTATAAATAGTACAAAATGGTGGTTTAATGTTGGGAATACAAAAAATGGCTTTTATGTTGTGTTTACACGCCAGCTTGGTTATTTTGGCTATTAGATTGCACTTAATAAAAATGTGATATATTTTATTTTCTTCATTTTCTTTACCTCTTATTGTGACACCTAGATATGCAAATTGGTTAACTTCATATTTTGTGAATACATTTTTACTTTTAACGCATTTACTAACACTATGATAAGATGAAAGTATGCATGGAACGAAAATATAAGGTTTTATCAAAGACGACAATTTCGTTTTCTTGATAGAACTTGCTAACACTGCACGAAATCGAAAATATATTTTAAATACATTCCTTAAGAACTCAAATTTCAATTGAAATTCTTTAAAATAAGGATGTAACATCGATGGGGGTCGTTTCACAGATTTTACGAACCTTTAAATTAATTTCTTGAGTAACAGACTAAAATATTGGGAAATATTTTAATAGACCTTGTTTCTAACATTTGGCTTTTTGTTATTTACTAGTTAAGACAGACAGTGCCAGTGTAACACGTCCTCTTTTTATTGTTTCAGGCCAAATTGAGTCTGACGGTAAACCAAGCACAGATGGAAACACAATATTAAGTTTATCGCAATTTGAAGCCAGTAGAATTAAACAGTAGGTTTTAAGAGGAATAATATAGAACTTACTACTTTTAGAGCATTTATTTTATTACAAATACTTTTAAATATACACTTGTTATAGTAGTTTTTGAATTTTCTTTTCAAAGACATGTTCCTTTCACACACATTGGCATTTCTCTTATATACAGTTTTAGACACTGGCGTTTTTTAAACCTGTAAGATCTACTTTTTGCATCAATATTACACGAAAACATTCTTTAGTTTTATATGGTTCTTTTTTCTGCTCATACAGGGATTACGGTAGTAAAAACTACAGCACATACAAAAAACTATATAGTGATTGGATAGATATGTCATTGTGTACGATTTGCTGTTTGCTGATTACATGCATGTAAGTTATATGCATGTTGCATGACCCGACCACTGCCAGACAAGGAATATTGAAGTGTGAAGAGTTATTATTAATTAATATTAATTTTACGAGCAAACTAAGTGTTTTCGATTAAAAAAATAAGATTACGAGCTTTTAAATTTATAATTTTAAATTTATTGGTTAGTCAGCTGATTTAAATTACCGAGTTGCGCCAAATATAGGCAACTTTAATTTCTCTGTTGTCGCGCTAATAATACAATAGTGTCGCAACTCAAAATGTTTCGAAATTGACATACTATATTCACACGTAAAATTCAATTCCCTATAAGTCAATAAAACTGTCGTTTTAATAGTGCAATAAATGAATAAGAGATAGGACCACAAGACTATTTATTACATTAGTTATTCATGACTGACCGACTGTCGCCACCTCCCTCACAAAATCGCGACCATCAGTGATCTGAACTGAACAGTCATCTTTAGTTGCGACCAACAGTGATCGGGAACTCACGTTTTGCTGTGCTTAACATTTCGGGTTTCCACGTTATTGCTGAATCAGGTATGTAATTTGGATAGCTATATTTCGAGTTATTACATTCTTGTTAATTTAAACCTAACCATAACATTGTTGTTGTTCTAGTTATTACACTATTACTGATTTACACCAGTACTTTTTAAATTAATATTTTTACTAACGACACTATTACTGGTTCAGTTCATTAATTTTGACATGCTACATTATTGTTGAATCATCACTTTAAATCATTTTTGTTGTTGTTTGTAAACCATGTATTAATCATTATATATGTGTTGATCACGTATAGTAATAACTCATTTAAAATGTGTAGCAGGGTTATTAAGAAAACTTACCAACAATTTTTTTTATAAATTTAAAGTTACTACACTCTTTGTGACATTCTTGCATCAAGTACCTATATCCTTAATCTAATAATATTGCTTGATTCATTTTTAGGTTCAATACCTGAGTCGTGGGCGATTACTTGTTGCTATGGCAACAAATGCTGAGGATTGCGAGTAGGAAATCTCTTCACCGTCGTTATTGTCACTGAAGATTACAAATAATGAACCTGGTGACCGAATAGAAAACATTAACGTTGCTAAAGTACAACCACCACATATACCTTCACCATTTACGAGTCATCAAGTACTTCAAGAAATTGACGAAAACAGTGAAACAGCGAATGAGATTGGGAGTTGTACTCTGTGGTTACTCCTGGTAGAGAACTGGACTGATATTTTATTCTGATAATTGTTGCGGGCAGCAAAAACTTAAAAAATCCTTACAGCATATCCGTACGCAGTACAGAAAATGAATGTCAAAAGCATAACCCATAAATTTCTGATTCGCGGTCACTTTTAAAACGAAGGTGACAATGCGCATAGCGTCATAGAAAAGCAATTAAAGCATTTCGTAAAATGTGATTCAGTGTATGTAGCACAACAATATATGACATTAATTCAGACAGCTAAAAAGACAGGCAAACTTATATTAAAATTACTTCAAGAAGAGTGGGGTAACAATTTAATGTTAATGAGGAGAAAGACAAAATAAAATGACATTAATGTGTTTCGTGTTGAAAACGAACATTCATTTACTTACTTTTATAAGAACTCTTACGAAGATGAAAATTACCAAAAAGTTTTCGTACGTAGCTTACGACGAACTGAAAACCAGACTTCGTCATTTGCTAATGGTTTGACACGAGAGTACACAAGCAAGATACCTTTAACTTAAAATAAGAAAAGAGACTTAAAGGAATTACTTGACAAAAATGTAATACACATGAGTTATCGTGAAACTTACTATGTATAAGGATTTGACCGATTAAAAATTAACAAGTGTATAGTGTAATAATGCATTTTTAGACTGATTCAAACAAGTTTAAATAATTTGTTTTTTTTTAAGTATATCCTTTTAATTGACTACGAATTACTTAAATATGACGTAAATAAAAACAATCTTGATTTATTTATTAATATCAAAATCAATAATTCTCGATAATACATTTTCTTTAGATCTAATGTTAATAAATACCAAGATTCAGTTTCCAAAATTGTTGTAAGTCCAAAAACTAACGTAAAACGCAGAAAAAATAGTAAATCAAATTAAAGTCACACAAAATATTTCATAAATAATGTCATAAGTCAAAATAATATTTCATTTAGAACATTTTGCTTAGAACAATACAGTGTTAACTCAAAATTTTTAAATAACTTTACTGTCTTTATTTTTATTTAACTAAGAGTAGAAAGAAACTTCCTTTAATATTAATTAGAAACATATTATACATTCATTTTTTTACCTGCAATAGAAAATGATTAATGAGTTTTTCGTTGATTCTGAAAAATCATCTTTTTGAGTTACGACACTATTGTATTATTAGTGCGATATATTTGTTGTGCTGTAACCATAGACATAATAACATTTAATTTCTGTAGCAAAGCCTAAGTCTTGAGGGATTTGCTCCCATTAGTCATGAACTGCTTGTTCCAAATTATTCATGTTTTCAAACTCACCATGGTTACGTTGATTATGTCGTTCCAGAATATCCCATGCATGTTCTATTAGATTTAAGTCTGCACTCCTTGGGGGCCATGGTAATAAACGAATCCCAACTTGATTAAAGTAACCACGTGTTATTCTTACGATGTGTGGACGAGCATTATCTTACATCAGACGAAAGTTTTCTCCAACAAATGGGGTAAATGGCACTACATAATCTTCCAAACATTGCTAAATATACCGTTGAGCGTTCAAATTGCACCTAGAATTGTAACAAAATATAGCCTCTAGGGAAATGCCTGCCCACACCATTATACCGCCTCCACCGAATTACACTCTCGGAGTAAGACAACATTGCTGGTAACGTTCACCAGCTCTTCTCCATATTCTAGGCCGCCTATCTGATGAGTATAATCGAGGTCCCTTGACAGGTATTCTGAACCTTAATCCATATTCATTTAAGCGTATTCGAACGGTATAAACGGAAACTGTGTTTCTATGGACATGATTTAATCGTTGAACAAGCACTGGTGCTGATAATGTACGATCGCGCAACTCTTGTAACCTAAGAAAGCGATCTTCAACTTGACTTGTGGTTCTTCGTCTATCTTGACACGGCCTCCTGGTGTATTGTCCTGTTTCCCGAAATCTTTGTATTACATCAAACACTGTACTTCGAGAAATTCCTAAAGCATTTGCGACGTAACGAATGCCCATCCGCCCTCCATCCCTGCGCCCATCATCCTGTAAAGCAACAGCTGGTGCTACTTCTTCCGGTGTCATATTTTTTTAATGTAAGTTTTAAACAGGAGACAATATAAAAACCTACAGCCGAATAGTCAGCTACAGTACCAAAATAAACTTTAATAATACTAATCCACTATTTCACATTAATAACAAAACGCATGTGTAAAAGTGTTGTTGTTCGCACCAAACATCTAAATAGGTTCAACGTTATGGATAATACGGCATAAAATACTATTCAAACAAATTAAACAAGTTTCGATCTAAACACCAACAAAAAACAAAAAATCTAAGTGTCCGGTTAATTTTGCACCCCAGTGTAATACAAGATTCCACTGCGGGATCACTACGTTCATACCGTAGTTCATCAAACTCACATTTTTACATACATTTAAAATTGGGAGAATACATTGATAATATGTAGCCAGTCAAAAAGTGGTTGCAAATATTTTTAATTTAATTAATAGTAATCAGTTTTCGACAAATATTTTATTTCGTTTATTTATTTTTGTATAAAATACGCTGCTCATTATTTACATGAATTTTTTTATACCAAATTAAAGTTATTTTTTTTTAATATGATGTTATAAGGTTGCCTGAGAAAAAATGGTCGAAAATTAAGGATACCAGCTGTTAAAAACGCGATATATCAAAGATAAAGTAAAATAAAGTTAGGGCGCAACGACACTGGTTTGACAAGTGATAATGTATATTATTCATCGATATAATATACTTACTGTGAATGAAACCTATAAATAAATACTTGCATCCAAAGTAGTTGGTAACAATGGCCGATCTTGTTTTTGGAATGTCAATAGTGTACGAAAAAATTCTTTTGGTACGTATATATGTACAATACTTATTTATTGTCGTTGTTATTTATATTTAAATAAAATATACTGACTTGTAACATTGTAAAATTATATTATTTTTATAACATAAAAACATATATATTTTATAGGTAGGAGAAAGGAGGGTAAGATGACGATAGTAATCTTAAAAAATTCCTAGAACTAATATTCTTCCATGTACCGAGTGCATGCAATACAAGGTAATCGGCTGATAGTAGTACTTTACATATTAAATTTAGATTACGGGTATACTGGAAATAACGAGAGATGTTCTTTCTGAGTCGTTTTGCTGTCATTTCAGCAATAGATCATTTTGGTAACCTTTATTCAATATATGATTTGATATATGAGGGGTGTCCGATCAGCTATTACCAGCATATATTTGAACCGATTCTTGAGGTCCTGTTTCTTTTAAAAGAAATATCGGTGAAATTTCTTGAATGTCTGACATTTCCTCTTCGACCTCTATATTTTCCAAAGCAGACGTAGTTGTAACTTCTGTTGAAATTCGTTTTTCTTTATTTGTTGATTTAAAGATGCCTCTGAATCAAGTCTATCAATCACTTGGCTATCAACAGGATATATGCCAGTGGCTCTAAAACCACTAAGAGCATTCAAAATAGTTGCTG